TCCATGCTCAATGACTTGACATCCAGAGCTTAAAATTAGGCAAGTAGTGGTATTTATACCTTGGAAACTAGCGAACACAACGAATTTGGACTTTTGTTTTTTCAGTCTACCAGCATAGCACTGTTCTCTAACCAGGATCCCTCTGCAGTCTCTCTCTGAAGTCTCTGAAGGACTGGGCTATCTCAGAGGTCTTGGGGTGGGTGAGGTTGTTGCTGGGGCTCAGCACTGTCTGTCCAGCTAGGCTCCCATTTCCTCCCACACATTTGTGTTGATGGAGAGGACATTCCTGCATGCTGAGCTTTCAAACCCTGTCCTGCTTTCCAGAGGGTTCAACCTGCAACAATTCTCAATGCCATTAAGGTTTACACTCTGCAGACTGAATTGGCACTTTAGCAGGAATGGGTAGGGTTGCTCCCTGATGGGAATTGAGCAAACATCATATTAAATGGTTGTGTCCCACATTAAGATTTAGACAGTTTTTCTTTTATAGGCATTAGCTTTCTGGAACATTCTTTTAAGAGTAAGCTCTTACTAGAGTTCTTGGTTAGTAATAACCATTATATACACCATGGTAAACCTGGGAACCCTCTACCTAGAGAACTTTGACTTCCAGTTGTGCATGCTTATTAAATGACCAGAATGAACCCCATTTAAATTGCTCAATGAAATATGTTTTTCTATAACCCTAACACTTGAGTATAAGATGGGAGGGGTAGGGAATAATATTTTGTTTTTGGTGAAGACTTTTCACTCCTATTTTGTTTACCTATTTTTAGGATGATAGCCAAGAGATTTAAGAAAAGAAAATGCATGGTCTGAGCTTAACTAATCAGAAAGAATCCTGGGCCTGATGCAAAACTTAGGGTCCTATATTTACCCACCACCCAGCAAAATAGTATGAGGTATTAATGCTTTGGGTGTTAGATCTTCAGATGTATGGAGAGGGAGCTCCTTGGAAAGGGACTTGGGGCATTTAGGAAGCTTAGGGACAATACTCGTTACCAATGTGTATGGAATTGTTTTAATATTTTAATGATGGATTTAGTCATGTGGGTGCCGACCAGATGAATCGTATGCTTGCTTCTACTTTCAACAAGTGATTCCATTTTTGCTTTAATATTATACACCTCAAATGTAGTTAATTCACCAAAATCGACAAACTAATCATATTTTATGCTCTCATTGAATATCCCAATCAACTTTACTTGGACATATTTGGAGGTTTGAGGTGATATGTTCTTGGCTTACAATTCTCTCTCAAGATATAAATAGTACCAAAATTTTTTTTGAAGAAGCTTAAACTATTTTTTTTTAATGAGACTATTGTCTCATTCCTTGGAAGACAGTATTACTTTATTGAAACCTGGTTTGATCATTAATTTAGTAAATGAAGGCTAAAAGGATAATACGTAATGAAGTGTTGTAGTAATAAAATCTCCTTATATGTCATTTGGCATTTCCTTTTGTTTTCACAAGTATCTATTGAGATGATTTACTAATGACCACATAAAATGCAAAGATGAATAAAACAAGGCCCCTACCCTTCAGGGGAGACAGGAGGACATAGGATGGGGGATCCTAAGGCAGGGTAATGGGAAAGAAAGCGTATCCAGGAGTGGTTAAAAAAATTCACATTGGAATGTTGGTGGGAGGAAAGGACTGCAGGAGACAATTCTAGAAAGAAGGAGTGTTAGTCAAAATTCTTTCAGTTGTAAATGCCAGAAACCAACCCAAAGTTCCTTTGAGTCAGCAGAAACTTACTGGTAATGTAACTCTAAGTCTGTCAGGTGGGATTAACTTCAGGCCTGAAGAAATTTTGAGACTGGAAACAGTCATTAGCCCTTATTTCTTCCCTCCCTCCTCTGTCCCCCCACTTTCCTGCTTCTATTACACAAAATCTCCATCCACCCCTTGGTGTTGACTTTCCATTACTACTCATCACCCACTTCTGCAGAAAGGTATTTTCCATTTGGTAGGGAAGATGGCCATCAATACTGACAATTCACATCCTTACAGCCCTGTGACTCAATAGGCAAGCCCCACCCCTTCCCCCATTGCTTCAAATACAAAATTTCCAGGGAAGGACTTCAGCTGAATCACATGCATACCCAGTGACTTAGAAGTAGGGACAGTTCCCCAAAGGAAGTAAAAGTGTTGAGCAGAATGAAAGAAAGAGATATCTCCCACTCTGAGATATCTGGCATGGGGCCAATGTGGTAGCGCTTCAAAAACCAAGCTATGAAGTCTGAACTCCTTCTGACAATATAGGCCATTAAAAATTTTAGCGTAAGAAAATAGTTGTGGATAATGGTTGGCCTAGATCACCTTTTACGTTTCTTTCCACTCTGTGTTCAGACATTTCTAACTATTCAAAGACAGGCCTTCTTGAATATCAGCATATAAGAAGTTTGAAAAGATGGCGGCGCTGATGTAAACTCTGGATTTTGGCTGATAATGATGTGTCATTGTGGTTCATAGACTATAACACATGTACTACAGCATGGGATGTTGACAGCAGGGACATTGTGTGTGAGGGAGCAGCAGGTATGTGGGAATTCTTTGTACTTTCTGCTCAGTTTTGCTATGAACCCAAACCTGTTCTAAAAAAATCTATTTTTAAAAGGGGGTAGGGCTGCTAGTAGCAGACAGCTTTTTAAAGGGAGACATGAACTTAAATATATTAAATTTATAGGAACAAAATGTCCCCTGTTGCCCAAATGAGACCCATGAGTCAGCAGCTGCCTGCTGAGATTGTTCTCAGCTTGGATTTGTCATCTGTCTCCTGGGTTTATCCCGTTGTATTAGTGCTAGTGAGTCAATTTAGCTATTCTGTAAATGCGGCTCTTGAACGAATTTTATGTGCCAGAGCTCATACTTAATGCATGGTGTAAAAATAATGACAAAGCAGGAGGCCTGCCCTCAAACTTCATAAATGGCTATAGTTTTTCTCAAAGAGTAGTTCATTGATTGCATATATTGGAAGCATGTTGAAGCACTTGTGAAAAATCACAGACTTCAGAGTTCTGTCACAGAGCTTCAGAATCAAAACTTGCAGGTGAATCTGCATTTTAAACAAGCATCTGATGGTTTTTCCCCTCACCTCTGGCATAACTTGGGCGTTCACCAGAAGTGTGGCGGCTCCGCCACAGAAGTGCAGAATCAGAATCTGTATTTTAACAAAATCCCCACACTTTAAAGTTTGAGAATCACTGTTCTCAAAGGTTCTGCTTACTTTGAGAATCACTGGTCTAGAAAGACTGATGTGTATATAGATGAATTTAGCACAATGTGATGAGTGAATTTACAGAGAGACACAAGTCCCTCTGGATGTGCATAAAAGGCACAGGTTTTTTCTCTCATGTTTCCTGGAGAGGTATGAAATCAACTATTCCTAAAGAGCAAGAAGTTAGGCTCATGGGGTGGGGTGGGGTGAGAGCGCTCATCAGAGGAGGTCACATGTACAAAGTCCTGAGGCAAAAGAGAACACTGTACATTTAAGGGAAAAGAAAGGCACCTCAAATTGCAAGGTTAAAAAAAAATACATACCAAAAAAAACCCCATTTAAACACTGAACATCAACCAAAGGAGGTATTTTAAAATTTTTTTTTAAGGGGCATCAGATTTTTCCGTTCCCATCATGCTGCTGCTTCTGGTTTCCTTTGACAAATTTTTGGGATACTTGCATTCATTCATTCATTCATATATACATTGGACACTGTGCTTTCTGCTTAAGTGATGGTAAAACTGAAATGTAGTGCCAGGAAGGCAAAGAGCAGGATCGCTGTGATCCAGGCAGACAGGGAAAGGAGAGTCCTGGAGCCCTTGGTGGCCTTTTCAGGCTTTTATTGCTCTTTCTACACCATTTATAGTGCTGCGCCCAGGTACACAGCAGATAGGGGGAGGGAGGGAGGGACAGGAGAGGGCAGGAGGCTGGCAGGCCTCCCTGCCCCCTGCAAATCTTCACTCTTTCTCAGCTCTCTGGCTTTCTCTTGTGATCTCTGCTGCTCTGCTGTTTCTCCTCTCGTTCCTTGCTGCTTCTACCACCACTGGCATCCCCACGACGCCGCCCTTATAAGCCCAGTCTCTCAGGCCAGGTGCACCCACTTATGCATGCCCACACCCAACTCCAGGAGCCCACCCTCAGGCATGCAAGTAGGACTGCAGGGATCTATCATTAATGCTAATGGCAGGAGGGTGTAAAATCCTGATAATTTTCACTTACCCTACACTGAACTAGTCCCTGCCTTCAGGGAGGTTGTACAGGAGACTGTGAAGAAGCCAGTAAAACAAATAAATGTGTAGTTATAAAAAGAGAACATGGCTATGAAATGAGCTACCGTGGAGAGGGAGTAAAGTGGGTAACTTCAAGAAGGGTCTATGTAGCCAGAGCAGCATTCTCTTGGAAAGTGGCCAAAGTCACTGTGGGGTGGGAGGTGTGTCACAAAGGAGCATCATCCTGTGCACATACAAACACACTCCTCAAATAAGTTGCTACTGAGACATGCAAATGAATGACAATGAGACTGGTTTAGATTTATAGTTTGCAAAGCAAGACAGATTTGAATTTACCAGATTGAGCTATGCTGTTGTAAATTTATCTGTAAGTTTTCATTTATTTTGTCCTTCTTAGAAAAAACTTCCCCGAGTAATTCTCATGGAACTGCTCAAAACGGATCCCGTCCAAGGAAACATTTTCAGTTGCAAACATCCCCTGTGGCGCTGGGATGAGCAATGAGGAGAAGGCTGTGTTTTCAGAATGTGTGCGTTACGATCGGCATGTAAGAAAACAATGAGATAAGGAGGCCTGGCGGGTGCGGTCTGGCTTGGCCTGACCTGGCCGCTGGGTGCCTGGAGCTGGAACGTCGTGTCCTCGAGGCCGGGAACCTTGTGTGCGCGGCTCGCGCTTCCCCGGCTGCCGGGGGGGAAGCATTTAAGCGCAGGACCGCGAGGAGCGCTTGTAAACAGAGCCGGCGGGGATGGTCGGCGGCTGGGCGGGCTCGGGCTGTCACCGCGGGGCGGGCGGGCTGCCGAAGCCGGGCCCCGGCCGGGAGTGAACTGAAGGCCCCGCAGGTGAAGGGAGAGAAGCAGTCGGCGGCCAGGTAAGCGTCTGTGGTCTTCTGTGCAGCCTGGCCGGCCGGTGGGGGAAGGGTGTGGGATGACAGCATTGTAAATATCCAGAAGCTCCCTGGGGGGGGCGGTGATTTTGCTGTTTCTTGCACGCTCTGGTTTTTATTTCATGCTGGAGACTGCGCTACGGTGCAGTGGCTGTTGAGAGAGGGAAGGTCGCATGATGCATTGTCAGCCTATTTTTTGAATCAGATGTATAAGTAGAAAACAGTTGAAACAGCCATTTCTGTCTTTGCGTGGTTTTAGGTCCCCCACCCCACCCCCTCCCGTCTTAGAAACCAAAACTCGGCAGAGCTTTTAACTCACGTCAGTCTCGAGTTCCCATAGTAATTGTTCTGGCTATTGACGCCACTTATTTTTAATTTATAGTAAGTGACACTGTGTGATGACAAGCATGATTTGGTTTTCTGTGCGAGAATTACTAAGCTAAAAAAATTAGGATAAGGCGAGTTCAGACCCACTCCTCAAATAAGTTGCTGCTGAGACATGCAAATGAATGACAGTGAAAATGGTCTAGATTTATAGTTTGCAAAGCAAGACAGATTTGCATTTACCAGGTTGAGCTATGCTGTTGTAAATTTATCTGTAAATTTTCTGCTTTTATTTTGTCCTTCTTAGAAAGATAAACACCTGAATTTTTTCTTTACTGTTTTTAATTTCAGTAGCCAATTGTGATTTATAGTCATTCATTCATTCATTCATTCATAATGTATTTTATTATAAAATACCACCAGTAAGTTATAATTGGGGCACCCCAAATATAACACAGGGCTGGTTTTGTTTTACTAATATCTTAACCGTGTAGTCTCTCTCTCTCTTTTTTTTTAAGATTTATTTTTTATTTATACACATAGCTGGGGCACAGGCCAGAGGCCTGGGAGGGTGAGAGGATTCACCAGAGACAGAGTGGGGAGCAGAACAGGCAGACAGACTGAAAGCACCTGAGGGGAGCAGTGGGCGAAATAGGAGAGGTCTGCTGTGCCATGTGGGTATCTCCCTGGCCGGCAGGGAATCAAACCTGTGCTGCAGAGGCTGCGGACAGCTTCACAGCGCCGCACTCAACCTGCTGCGCCACCAGGGAGGCCCCGTGTAGTCTCTTAAAGGTCACATATTATAACTTTTAGGGAGTAGAAGAATATTAAGTTAAATTGCACATTAGAAGTATTTTTAAGTTGTGCACATCAAAGAAGTAATATTAATGCCTGATGAGTTATCTTTACAATCAGTTTTTGCATGATGTAGTAGTTCATGAATTCATGGGTTCATCAGAAGAATACATGGTCACTTCCTATTGTGTAACCTTGGGCAGTTTACTTGCTGTGTTTCCTAATCTATAGAATGGGAATAATAATAGTTGTGATCTCATAAGGTTGTTATGATGATCGAGTTAATATTTAAACAATGCTTTATACAGTGCATGTAGTAATTGCTATCTGCATGTTTGTTAGTATTCAAATAAAGAAAAAATATACCAGTGTTGAACGTGAGATGGTGGTCAGAAGGAGTTGGCGGAGGGGTGAAATGAGAGTGGTTAAATGGGTATAGCATTTCAGTTTTGTAAGATGTAGAGTTCTAGAGATTGATTGATCACAGTGTGAATGTACTTAACAGTATTTAACTGGCCACTTAAAAACTACTAACATGGTAAATTTTGTATTTATGTATTTCCCCATAATCAAACTTTTTAAAAATGCCAGTGTTAGCAGCATTATATATTAAAAATGTTAGCATAGAGCAGTCCCTTTTACAGTTGCCTTTGCATTGTGAAAATGAAACTTCTGGCAACCATCCGTAAGATTTATTACTTTCACAAACTCTTGTAATTCAGACCTATCAGGGGCCTCCCCGGTGGCACAGGGGTTAAAGACACAGTGCTATCAAGCTATCGCCAGCCACTGCCAGCACCAGTTCTATCCTGGGTTGGCCAGGGAGCTAACCCACATGGTACAGCAGACCTCTCCTGTCCCCTGCCCCACCTCCACTGCTCCCCTCAGCAGTGTATTTCAGTAGATCTGCCTGTTGTGCTCCCCACTCTCTCTGGTGAATCCTCTCACCCCTGCCACCTCTGACTTACACCCCAGTTCTTATATTCATAAATAAATAAAGCTTTAAAAAATGACCTATCATAAAGAATGCAAATAATGCATGTCCTGAATCCCTAGGATATATAAACATATCAATCCCTTGGTTATGTTATATGGTGTAGTTAAATTTAAATGGGGAAATTATCAGTGTGGGCCTAATCTAATCACAGCTACCTTTAAAAGTGGAGAGCTTTCTCTGGCTGGGAAAATCAAGGTTGAGAAAGACTCAGCAAGCCATTGCTGTTTTGAAGATGGAGGGGATGCTTGAAAAGGATCAGGGTAGCCCTGAGGAATGAGGAGGCCGAGAGCTTTTGAGGGTGACCCAGCATGGAAATAGGAGCTTTAGACTTAGGGCTATAAGGAATTAGATTCTGCCAACAAGCTGTGAGCTTGAAACTGGATTCTTTACCAGAGTCTTTAGATAAAAGCCCCACTTGGACTTCACCTTGATTTCAACCTTGTGAAAATAACCCTGAGCAGAGAACCCAACTAGAGTTCCCAGCAAACTCTTACCTTCAGAATTGTAAAATCATGAATAGATGTTGTTTTGAGCTATTCAATTGGTGGGAATTTTGTTAGTGATGGGCAAAAAATGGGTGAAAGATAGGAACAGACTATCCATGGAAGAGAAAATGATGACCAGTTGACATATGAATGTATTCTCTTTCCTTTAATCAAAGAAATGAACGTTGAAACAATAGCAAGGTACCTTCTTTTTCCAGGCCTTAAATTTACACAGATATTTAAAAATTATAATTCTCCACATCAATTAATGCATGGTGGAGCGGACACTCTCAAATGCTGTGAATGCGGCTCAGAGACTCTATAATCTTTCTGAAAAGCAACTGGACTGAATGTCTGAAAAGACACACTAATGCTCCTCCTCTTCCCACTAACTCACTTCTCTCAATCTAGCCAAAGGAAAGTATGAAAAATAGCTTAAAAGTTAATGTTGAAAAAAGCTTAATATGGCTTTGGTTAGAAAAGTCAAATATTAGCAATAATCTAAGTGCCCAACAACAAGAGAACAGTTAAAATAAATTATGGTATCAAAAGATATGGTATCATACAAGCATTTAGAAGAATATTTGTAAAGAATCTTAAGTGTGGAAAGGTGTTTACTGATTACTGCTAAACGGGGGACAATAGGGTAGAGAACTGTACCTTACTGCATGCTGTCAACTATGTTTTAAAAAATAAAAAGAGCTCCCCACATCCGAAAGGAGCGAAAGGACCACCATGTGGCGGTGGTTTTTTTCTCATTGGAAGGTGAATAGGCATTGTGTATTTTCCCTTTTACACTTTTCTGTATTTTCCAAACATTAAACAATGAACTCGTAGTACTTTTTGGTAATTGCTGCGGTCAATAGATGTTATTTTAAAAGCTGTAAAATCTCTGTGCTGTGGGGAATACAGTGACCCTAAAACACTGCCCTGCGAATAATGGAGAAAACAAAAATCTATAAATAAATGTGTCTGAAAGTGCTTATTTAAGAAAAACTAGAATAGGACACAATAGTTTTGTTGGAAAGGTTGCAGATATACTTGGATACCATTTCTCAACTGGGTAATTAGTGAAAACTTCATGGTGGAAGGGTTCCTGAATATCATACTGAGATAATAGAAAAGAAAGCTCATGGTTGAATTTTCATCAAAACCAAAAGTCTTGGTTTTGATGAAATTTTCATCAATTTCATCAAAACCAAAAGTCTTGGTTTTCTCGTAGACACATGAATTTTGGGCTTTGGGCTATAAACACAGCTTAATGATTCAAGTGGAAAACAAGAACTGTGGTGGATATGTAACCACTTGCAAAAAACAAAAACAAAATACCCTCCATGCTTTGACTAGGAAAACCAAACTGGACCTAGGCCCATAATATTGGCATTAAAAAAAAATCCAAAGCTAAAATTGATTGAGCATTTATCAGATACAGACATACTCTAGTCCCGTTTAATCTTATATGCAGACTTCCTGTGAGACTTGGGGTAAAGTAATGTATTTACATATTTAAGAAGCAGACAGTTAGATGAGTGCTGCTTCAATGACTGGCTCCAGAAGTCCTTTTTAGTAGGAACCTAGAAAAAGTGAGATGATTTGGGCGGATGTTTTAGGGTTCTCAATCTCTGAACAGTTTCCAGGACCCCCAGACTTGCTGCTTCTTTGTTTATCCCATAGACTTTCTTTTTTTTAAATTTACCCTGTCCTCCCACACTTATAGAAAAGTACAGAAAGTCTTTTGCCCTGTTGGCCACCAGTCAAATGCTGGTTTTCTTCATGGGAAATGTCAACCCATGAAAAAGAACAACCAAAGGTATGGCAAGGAATTGCTTTTTTCTTTTTCCTTTTAGAATGAATTTGGTACTTGTTTCCTAAGTAACTGAATTGTATTCTATCTTGAAGCTTCTGGTAGAAGCCAATAATTCAGAGAATTGAGTATGAAGTAAGAATGTGATAAAAATGACCACCACTAAGAAATTCCATACATTATGTTTGCTCTGTTTCATTGTTTATTGTGGATATGGCCAGAAAGACAGTTAAAAAAAAACAAACCCCATACATTTACCTTCATACTGACAATGAGGTGAGATTTTTATTTGGTTCATGAGTATAATTAATCTTGATGGCGATATGAGTTATGAACAAAAACTAAAGTCAAAATAGAGAGACCATTGTATTAAGATGTCAGGCATGCTGTTTTCATTAACGTTTGGTTTTCATACACTCATTCATTGTTCATTTGAGTTCAGATTGGATTCTCTGATTATATGCCACATTTTTGAGTATGGTAGAGATTTATTTGTCCAGTTGTCTTGATTAGCATAACTAATTTATAATTAAGCATAAACCGCTCAGTTTGCATTATCCAGTTTACTTGTGGATTTATC